ACACAGAGACAGACACAAAGATAGAGACATAGAGAGAGAGGGAGAGACAGAGAGACACAGAGAGAGAGGGAGAGACACAGGGAGAGGGGGGAGAGAGAACTGTGAGCTGAAGCAAGCCTGGTGACTGGAGTGCCAGGGTGTCATTCTGAAACAGGAGGGCTGAGACTCAAGGCGCCCACAGCCTCGGCTTCCTAAGCTCCAGACTGACGTCCAGAGCGGACCATACTTAGCCGCTCTGAGATTTTTAAGTGAAAAGAAACCGTTAAAGCAGCAGAGGAACAGGGTCGCCTCTGAGGCGGGGAGGTCAGAAACGGCCCGCCTGCCCCGCCTTAGGGAGACTTGTCTGTCTTGCAGTGTGTGTCTGTGTGTGTGCGCACGCGTGTCCGCATGTATGTGAGTGCTCCTGTGTATTTTGTTCTTTGTTATGTATCTCCAGTGCTGAAGGCTGAACCCAGGCCTTGCACATGCTGAGGAAAGGCTCTGCGACTGAGCCTCATTTCCGAGTATAACCGAATCACATTTTCCGCAGGCCTGGGGCAGAATTTGAGGACCCCTTACTTTCCACAAATGGCCCCCAAGTCCTCCTGGGGTCACACTCCCGTTTCCCTTCCCTGTCCCGGGTTGTTCCCGCGGGAGGCAGGCCTGCCCTGCTGGCCAGCCTTCTCTGGGCCCGGCTGACCAGGCCTTCTCCCGCCAGCAAGCGCGCGGTGTCGGAGCACCAGCTGCTGCACGACAAGGGCAAGTCCATCCAGGACCTCCGCCGCCGCTACTTCCTGCACCACCTGATCGCCGAGATCCACACGGCCGAGATCAGAGCTACCTCGGAGGTGTCCCCCAACTCCAAGCCTGCGCCCAACACCAAAAACCACGCCGTGCGGTTCGGCTCAGACGACGAGGGCCGGTACCTCACTCAGGAGACGAACAAGGTGGACACTTACAAAGAGCAGCCGCTCAAGACGCCCGGGAAGAAGAAGAAGGGCAAGCCGGGCAAGCGCAAGGAGCAGGACAAGAAGAGGCGAAGGACGCGGGCGGCCTGGCCGGGCACAGCCGCGAGCGGCCTGCTGCAGGACCCCCGGCCTCACACCTCCAGGACCTCGCTGGAGCCGAGCTCAAGGTACCGGCGCACACACGGCTCCCTGCCCCCTCTGCTGCTCTGAGGCCCCGGCACCTTCTGTATACTGATCTGTGACCACGCAACCCTCTTTTTGATTACCTCACCAAACAACCTCATTTCCCTGCTTCCTTCCCTCTGACCCAACCAGCCTGCCTGCCTGCCTGCCTTCCCTCCCTCCCTCTCTCCCTCCCTCCATTCTTCCTTCCTTCCGTCCTTCCTTCCTTCCTGCCTTCCTGCCTTCCTGCCTTCCTGCCTTCCTTCCTGCCTTCCTTCTTTCCTTCCCCATTCTTTGCCTCCCTTCCTCTTCTTCTGCTCTTCCCTTCTTCCTTCCTTTCTCTGCCCACCCCCACCCCCAGGCAGGCTCTTCTTCACAGCCCAGGCTAACTGTGAGAGCTGTGAGCTCAAAGCAATCCTCCTGCCCTAGCCTGGCGAACACTGGGATTCTAAGTGTTTCCACCAACAGTGATAATAATTCCATTCCTTACCTGAGCTTCTAAACTACTCAGCCTCATCATAGTTTGCCAGGAAATTATACCTGTTCCTCGTGTCAGCGTATTGGGAAACTTTCCTGTTAGCTTTTTATTTCTTGTTTTTCTCGCCTTCTTTTCAAAGAGGACCTCAGGAGGCCTCGGGAGGCCCCACTAACATGGCGGGCAGTACCTCACATAAGAACTTCCGAGCCATTATTTAATTAAATGGATTTCATTACATTTCTATCTTATTTTAATGTAAAGAAATTGAGTTATTTTTTTAAACACATGCTTTGTATTTATTTGCTTTTTTTAAATTACATTTAATTAAGTGAGCTGGTTTCTACCAGCTCAAGCAAACAGAACCTTGGCGTTTTCCAGTCTTCACTTAGGTTTCAGTTTTTCTCGTGTGCTCACCATGTTGGCCTGACTTTCCCTATAATAGTGAGGAACAAGGAGACGCCATGTCACAGCTGACTCACCCTCCTGATGTGGGGCTCGGAGCTCTCACGGCTTGCAGAGCTGGCTCACTCAGGCTTAGGTCTAACACTGACAACATCCACCACCTTGAGCAAATGAAGACTCAGTCTAAGCCTTGCCTTGTCTTCTGTGATGAAGTGCCAGGCTCATGGAGTTAACTGGAAATTAGATCAGATTTCAGTCTTGCAAGCTGTTGTTGCGGCATCCAGAGACGTGGTTCTGTTTCCTTCACATATATGTCTGTGTGTGCTCTGGGTTTTATATGGCAAGCGGCCAAGTTTCTATGAGGCAAAGGGGGACAGATATTAATTTCATTTTACAAGACAGAAAACCAAAACACCTCACCACTGCAGAAGCCGAGTTATTTCGTGGAGTTGGACTATGCTCCCCCACACACAGCAAGCCTCGCTCCCCGCTCCTTAGAGCTCGGGCAAGCACTGGGCTGGCACACACCTCCCCACAGACCCTGCTGACAGACCTGCTGCTTTGTTTCACGCTCTTACTTCTCAGCATGGAACTCCTGTGGGGTCCGAAAGGACGAGGAGAGCCACACAAGAACAGGTCACTTGCAATCTGTGATGTCACTGTTTAAAGTCCCCATGGCTGGTCCAGTTCTTTGACTCAGTAAAGACAGGGTTACAGAGTCCAAAGCAATGCTCAACCGCTCCTCTCTCTCAACAAACCCATTAAGAGAAAACAAAAAACAAAGAACAGAAGTTACGCTGACTGCACACAGTCATTGCCAGCGTGCAGCAGCGTGAGAATGCTCAAGCACAGCCAATGGTCTGCTCCGCAGTAGCTAGCGGGACCTGCTCACTGCCATACCCAGTGTGCTTTAAGATGTAAACACAATGGATGTTTATAGCTACTGCAAAAGCGCTAAGATTTACGTTCTCATCGATTATCTATAATACACTTCCGTCTGCATTAGAACTAAAAGCAGAAGCATAAATATTTTTCACGGATGCTTTTTCCCTCTAACGTTTGCACCTGTCTTCAGGTATCTGAAAAATCATTGACAATCAACATTCATCAATTCTTAAGCCCAGGGCTGAGCCTTTGTGAAAATGTATCTAGCAAAACTGAAGCAGAGTCCTAAGAAACCCAGGACAGGCCGGAAGGAGGGACGAAGGGGGAGGTCCTAGAGTGCACTGCTCAGAATGTGAGAAGTCCACGTGGCATCTTCACACTGAACATCTTAATGGTTTCTTTAAGTCACTGTACGATGACGTCAGAGCGCTAACGGAGCCGCAGCTGTGAGCGCTGGCATCTATCATTATACAGTTTCTCAAGAGAAACTCGCCTTCTCCTACGACCTTCTCAGAGGAAATACATCTAACTTTTATTTTAAGGTTACATTAAAACGTTGGTGTTTAATGTGAGGTGCTCGCATGCCGTAGGAACTCATTTCTGAAAATCATGTTTTGACTTGGAAAATACTGTTAGAAAAATGTGAAAGCTTTTCAGTGGTCAGAAAACTAAAACTCTAAGCATTATCTCTCTTCTCTCTCTCTCTCTCTCTCTCACACACACACACACACACTCACAGGTGCACACTTCATGATAGCCATGTGATCTATTTTACTTGGCTTTTCCAATATGTACCTTTAATAAGAGTGAATTCAGGGGGAAAAGTCAAGTAGAGTCCAAATAGGGTGAAAATTAGTCCTTAATATGTTACCTTTTCTTTTCTAAGAAAAATAGTTGTTCAAAATTAATTCCCACTTTTGTTTCTCCTATCAATGCGTGGCTCAGTAGGCGGTTTAGTCACGGCAGCGCGCAAACTAGCGCGTTTGGAAGTACCATCGCCTTCCTTTACTGCTAACACCCACCCAGTTCAGACATTCATCCTCCGTTCTTCTTCCCTGCAGTCAGAGCTGTGTAAGTGTTTTAGCCAGAGCTGCTGGACTCGGCTCCCTAGACTCCCTGCATGCTCGTACCTTTGCTCTTGTCAGCTGCGTGTGGCGTGCCAGCGTGGCCAACACTTCTGACTCTTACCCCACACACGTGTGCAGCCTAAGATTCCACCCACAGGTGCCTAATTCAGTGACACACTCAGCTGCTGCCCTGCAGCCGCTTCCCTATAAATAAGTGTGCGTTCACTGAAACAGACTTTGCCAAGAAAGGACAGAGGGAGCTGGACATTCCCGGGACCCCGTCCCGCCCGCACGCACACGCGGTCACTGCAGTGTCCACACTAACTAAAAACACGTGAAGGCCAGCACCACACAGACAGAGCAACAGTACCTTGGTTTTTCCTAGGCATCTTGTCACTTAGGACAGACTTCCATTACACGTCTGTAATTCCAGTGCCCAAGAGGATGACAGGGCAGTTGCGGCTCTGACAGTAGCTTGGGCTCACAGAGAGCTTCTCTTAAGGGGGGGGGGGGGTTCTTTTGAAAATCCATCCAAACATACCAGAGCACAAGAGACAAGAATTCTGGGTTTTGTCTTTGAAGACTAAACTCCAGTGTCGGCATCTTGAGGGGTGTGTGCCCAGTGTCTCCTGCTCACCACCATCACAGTCCACAGCTAACCAAGCACCCAAGCAGAATAAACAAACTTTGGGGCAATCGAGGCAGACGCTGCTGAGACATGAGCTTCTAGATGAGGAGTGAGGGTCGATGTCCAGCCTCGCCTCGCCTCTGGGTCCTCCACCGAGCCTGGCACGCTGGCTGGCAGCGGTGGTCTCCTCTTTCCTGTCTGTGCCACACTGAACTTTCTGTCGGGTGGACGGGCCGGCTTGAAGTCCCTCCGCCTCCGCCCGCTGAGAGCTTGCCTTTCTCGTTCCCATCTTTATTGCCTGTTGTCCTGTCTGGCGGGGAGAATAACCTCTGTTCTGTTTTGTTTTGTTTTGTTTTTCCTCTTTTTTGTCTTCACAGGACGCATTGAAACTTTCATCGCAGATCTTCCAAGGACACGTTACAGGATTTTGTAATAGTAAACACATGGAAAGTATTAGACATATTTATTGCCTGTACACACTGTAAATGCGCTGGGACCCGACTGTCTCCCCAGGAACTGCACATTGCTCATGTGAATATGTTTTCTTTGTTGCCAAGGCTAATCCAATTATTATTGTCACTGTTGCCGTAATTTATTTTGTCAACTGATGTATTTATTTGTAAATGTATCTCGGTGCTGCTGACTCTGTTTTTTGTAACATAATGCACTTTAGGTATACATATCAAGTACATTGAGGAATTTAACTCAAAAAGGTGTCTCTATGTCGTGGTTGATTTAATGAGTGCTGAAATATAATTATCTAGACTGAGTTCCTTCTGTGCATGTAAAAATGGCGGTATTTTAAATTTGTAAAGAAATGTCTAATAAAATATAACCTAAGTACACCGTGACTCACAATGTGAATTTTATCCTTTAAAGTTTCTAATCAGAGAAACACAATAAATGTTTTAATTCATTTGAATATAGTCCTAAGCTTAATACATTTATAAGGGCATCTACTCTGATATGTCCACATTGAAAACCTCTTAAAATGTATTTTGTCCAATATTTCAGTTTGTCAATAGAATGACTGAACAGCCTGGACCTCAAGTTAAAATGAAGACAAGAAGGGCAAAGAAAAAGAAGAGAAGTTCGGAGAAAGGGTCAAACAGGGTTTTCTGGAGTCAAAACCCAAAGGGAGAAGTGAGCTGAAGACCTTAAGACTGAACAAATTTTGCCAGTGTAAAACTTAGTTTGCAAGGGCTTGCCCTCGTTCATAGAAATAACAAAGGATGTGCTCGGGAATTCTAGAGACTGGAGGGAGGTTTAGAAGCTGCAGGACAACTCAGAAGACGCAGAGGCGGGGCTGATGCGGGCGGCGGCTCCAGGAGCTTCCTGTCCACAGCACACCTGGGGCTCCGGAAAGACCCTTCTCCATTTTTCACCTCACTCTAGCTCTTCCTCTCTCTACATTCAGGTGAAACTGTGTTCTGTTCTGTTTGATGGGGGTGGTGGCAGTGGTTTTCAAGACAGGGTTTCTCTGTGTAGCCCTGACTAGCCTGGAACTCACTCTGTAGACCAGGCTGGCCCTGAACTCAGAGATCCACCTGCCTCTGCCTCCTAAAAGTGCTGGCGTTAAAGGTGTGCGCACCACCTCCTGGCTTGAAATTGTGTTTTTTAAGTGTGTTCAGCATAAGACACACCAACAAAATCCAAACCCAAACCCTATGAATCAAACACACACATGCTCAGAAATGTCTGCCAGGGCCTAACATCCTATTCAATGTCTATCAGATGCTTGCGAGCACTTAGACAGTAAAATGCAGTCACTCCCTCCAGCGTTCTTCCACACTGGATTCCATGCACCAACACAATACTGTCTACATGAAAAGTAAGACAGAATGCAAAACACACATGTATTTTGTCTTGTTTTTTGTTTATTTTTTCAAGACAGGGTTTCTTTGTGTAGCCCTGGCTGTCCTGGAACTCACCCTGTAGACCAGGTTGGCCTCAAACTCAGAGAACCACCTGTCTCTTCCTCCCTAGTGCTGGGATTAAAGACGTGTGCCACCACCACCCGGCAACACACGTGCATTTTAAAAAGGGAGAAGGGAGAGACATAGGGAGAGCATAACAGGGTTTGGAGCAACTTTACCGATCTTGTCTCTTGAGTCTCGGAGCCTCCAAAACAAGGCTCTTCAAACCATCCGTAAGAATCTTCAACCTGTGCTGGCAGGTGAGTAAGGGAAGCTGTTCTTCTTAAGCATTGCCAGGTGTTCTCAAACCTAAGGAATATTAGGAGGCTAAGAGATGGCACTCCAGCCTGTATAATGCAAGCACATCGAAACACCTCAGAAACAAAAACAACTACAGCCCGTTTTGTGAAATGCCATCTGAGCTGTAAGCCTTGGTAAAACCGTACCTAATCTTTGTAAGTTGCTCCCGTGAAAGATGTGTGTCTAAGCTTGGTGTGGTGACGCCTCTGATCCCAGCACTTCAGAGGTAATGAGTTCAAGGAAGCCTATTCTACGTTCTAGAACAGCCAGGGTTACACAGAGGGACCCTGTCTTAAGGTCTCAAAAAAGGAAGGAAGGAAGGGAGAGAGAAAGGAAGAAAAGGAGGAGGGGGGGGCTTCTGGAATACACACTTGGCAAATCCAGATAAAGAGGCATGGTTGAGCTTTTAACTGCAAGCCATCTTTAAGCTTATCTTTCCAAGTAGCCCAGCGCTAGGAACAGGAAAAAGGAAGAGCACAGCTTCTGTTACCAGCTCTTACCAGAGCACTCTCGGCGCCAACATTACCTTTAGATACGCTGGCTTCCCTGGCAGTGGTACAAAATACAGATGTAGAATGACGTGATAGGAATATGAAGGGACGAGATAACCTTCAGAAAAACACAAAATTAAGACTGCAAAAGTCAACATAAATAAATGTAACGAATTACACTCTGCATCATGACAGCTTGATCCTGGCCAGATGACATCCACCAAGCTCCAGCAACTGCAGTGAGATGAACCGGCCTGGGTGCTCTGAAACTAAGCAGAAACAGCTAAATTTTCCCCAGGGATCACGTAATCTTTATTCATAACGAGATCTGGAGTTAATTAGAGACCTAACATATTTATCAATGTAGAGTTAGCTCCAATGGACACTTGTATGTGAAATCTGTGTATTCAGCCCATGCCTTTTTAGCCATCACTGTGAAACATGACTCTACCACACAGCTCAGAGAGTCTGAGCTTCGTGATAAGCAGAAACTCGGGTTAACAGTACCATCTTTTAAGAAGTTACAAGTCAGCGCTGGCATCTTACAAGTGTTAGTTCGGCCTATGGACAGTGTCTAGTTGAAAATGTGGAGAAATTGAACATTTTCTTAGGAGAAGGCAAGAGTGCACACAGTGATGGTTAGGGTACCATCTTGTGACCCCTCCAGGACAAAGACAGCCATGTCTCCAATCCAAGGCATCTGACACACTATGTAACAGGCCCGAGAGGCAGGCGGAGTCTAATGTGCCTTTCATTTCTACCCTGCATCTGTCCAGTAGCTAAACATTGACCTCCTTCGCTGGTGTCTAGCACCCTTCACACAGCTGAACGTATTCTAGAATTCTTATTCCATCGGATAATCAGTCGAGTTCTAGAGCGATTTCCTTGTCGTTTAGTTGACACTCTCCTCTCTGCCCACAAAGTTCAAGGGAAGACAGACCTCACTGCAGACAGAAGCCAGGCCAGCAGGGCCTTCTCTTCTGTAAGTGCTGAAGAGGGTATTGGGAACTTGGAGTAGGAAGGGTGCCAAAAGCACTTCCTGAAACTAAGGATGAAAGTCCTCCCGGGGCCAACGCTTCCCGCTTCCCTTCCTTTCTTGACCCAGTACTACACACGAGGCGACAGTTTCTGCTGTCGAGTTGCCAGGTTGCCGGCTGCTCAGCCTCACCTGAGCTCTTCAAAGGAGGATGAAAACTGCGTGTGCCAGGGGTGATAGACCAGTGAATGAGGCCTCCCCTCCAGGAGGCAGGGCTCACTCCTCAAGGGAAACACCGCGCCTTGCTGGCTCCACAACCATCTTGTAGATTCCTTTGTCCAACACCCACCACCACACAGCCTCCTGAGCACACAAGCTGTCTTCCCAACAGGCATCCAACAAATTCTCGTTGAGATTTCAAAACACTTAGAAGGTTAAACAAAACCTCTGGTGTGGGAGATGGTTCTGAGCCTGGGGTATTTCCAGCTCCCACTTCGCGCCCTTCTCTCATTCCAGTAACAGGAAGCTCAGAGAGTAACAGCCCCAAGCTTGCTGCCATGCGCCACAGTGCCCTCTGTTCCTCGGCCTCTGGTTTCACAGGGACTTCCCAGCTCCATAAGCACAAGAAGCAAGGGTTTGTGTTGAGGGAATGGCAACCTCCCACAGGAAGGGAGGAGAATTTAAAATATCAGGTTCTCTTCCCGTGAATACCCAGCATAGAACTTACCCACAGGGCCCAGCTGTGCGGACAAGGCGCGCTGCTTTTTTGACAGAAGATTAATGTACACAGCTCCCAACCAGGCCCACCGGCATCAGGATGCGAGCATGCACGGCCCTGTGTAAGGCCCTAACACACGTGCAATGTGAATGGGCTATGTTTTTAAATTGCATTTTAATTAAACTTCAAAACGTCTCCGTAAGAGCTTAAAGACATTTATAAATTGGAATAAACACAAGGTGTGTCACCCTTGAAAAATGGATTGTTTGCTAAAGACTCCTACTCCCTGCCGAGAACACACAGCCTTGGGGGTCTAAAAAGAAAAATAGTCCATCCATCTTCCATTTGAGTAAGACAATTAATAGTCACAGACCGCCAAGTTGTCACTGAAAAACTGGGGGAAGTGGTTCTGTAGATGTCGCATAGTACAAAATAAACAATAACAAAGCAAGCCTCCCTGCGCTTGCAAGCCCACGGCCCCTCAGCCTGCCTTCCACATATCCCACTGGCTCGTGCCAGCATGAAATGCAAGTGTGAGAGCTGCAGCCTGGGCCCCAGCACCTGAAAGACAGTGGCTGCCTCCCCCACGACTGTCACTTTCTAGAAGTCGGAGTTTGGAGCCTCACAGGGTCTTAAAACTGCTGTGTCAAGGAGAGTAAATTACCACGGCTGTGGAGTGAGTGTCCTTGTTTCCTGGGAGCTGCTATGTGCCTGCACTCACTTTCTTTGTAACCCCCCCAGTCTGTTCAGCATCTGCAGGCCTGGGGCTCTGGGTCTGGTTTGCCTTGGACGAGAGCTTGCCCGGTCAGGGAAGATAGAAACAAGGCTCACAGCAAGCGCCACCTGATGCCAGAGTGCCCTGCGGCAAAAGCTCCCCCATGTCAGGGAAGGCTGGGTTCTGGGTGCTTGTCAGCGGGTTCAGGGAAACCTCGGGTCTGAGAATTATATGTCTAGTCAGTTCCTGCTTCCTGCTCCCCGGGGCACTTCCTACCATCTGCTGGGGGGGGGGGGGGGGCTCTTCCATGGCCTTGCTCATGCTGGCTCTCTCTCTCTCATTTGTCTCTTTCTCTGCATGTCTGTCTCTGTTTCTGTCTTTGTCTATTTCTATCTCTGTCTCACACTCTTTCTCCCTCTATCTCCATCTCTGTGTATTTCGGTGTCTTTCTTTCATTTTCTTTTTCTGACTTTCTCTGTCTGTGCATCTTTCCCAGCATACACACAGAAAGAGAGAGAGAGAGAGAGAGAGAGAGAGAGAGAGAGAGCGCCAGGGAGCCCAGGTGTCTACAGAACCAAGGAGCGAGCAGCTTTTGCCCTGAGGGAGGTGGCAGGGCGGGCGGGCAGGCGGGCGGGCGTGCGCTCTGGCTGGCAGGCAGGCAGTGTAAGCACACACAGAGAGCCACTTTTTGTAAGAAGGTTAAAACATA